ATATAGGTAGTTTTAATATTTATTTCCCAAAACTATTCTCAAAAATAAGAAAATAAATCTAATTTTTACTAAAGAATTTACCTGAAAATATTTTTTATTTCAACCTTATTAAAAAAATTTAAAATTTTGATATCGCTAGGTATTTCAGTTAATACATACTCATTAAGATACTCACGTGTATATTATATACTCAATAAGATACTCACGTCTATATTATATACCCAATAAGTATACTAACACTTAACATGCTACGTTTCAGGTTGTGAGTTGACAATAACTTTTAGGTGTAAGTTTTTTGTTTATATTACAATTTTGTTTGTGTGGAGTTAGTTTGAACATGACATGGTTGGTCAAGTGGATGATGGAGGCATGCGATTGCACGTCATGATTAGCTACTTTAAGCTATCAAAAAATCAATTATCGTTAATTTAATCAGCTGACGCCCACGTGTACGTGTACGTGTACGTGTACGTGTACGTGTACGTGTACGTGTACGTGTACGTGTACGTGTACGTGTACGTGTACGTGTACGTGTACGTGTACGTGTACGTGTACGTGTACGTGTACGTGTACGTGTACGTGTACGTGTACGTGTACGTGTACGTGTACGTGTACGTGTTTGTGCTTTTGCGTGGTCAAGTACGTGTACGTGTACATACACTTGCACGTGCACTTGTACGTGTATGTGTATGTTTATATAATATTAACTGTACACTTTATTTTATATTAAGATGTTTATGATAATAAACAAGCAATACATGCAGGGATGATGCAGGTGTTGGGGGGGGGGGGGGAGAATGCGGAATTCTCATCCTTGTGAGACGATATAGAAATCGTTAAATCAGTCATTATATGTGAAACAGACCGTACTTTCGGTATTGTTTATTTATATTATATTTAACACGAACTTGCATGAAAGTAGAATACCTGGCTACAGAAGGACTAGGTGAGCGACTAATCATGTTATTCCATGCTTTATTTTTTATCGCTCACTGACGTTAGGGGAGAGAATGAAGGATATAAAAGGGGAGCGTAAGGTGGACACGGGGTGCCTGTGTAGAATAATGTAAGCCGTCGCCATGTCACTATGTTCGTGGATTGTTTTGAATTATTTTTATCCTACTATGGATTTATAATCATTATTCCTTATGGATCAATTTTATTACTGTAAATAAAGTTGGAAAATGAAAGAACTTTTTCAGCGTCTCTATTGAAGTAAGAACTCACAGTAACAACGTATTGTCACATTAACAAATACGCAGTGTTACAATATGTTTTACATTCAAGTAGAAATTTAAAAACAAACCGACAATAGGCTGGATTTAAACGTAATTAATTTATAGCCACACCCGGAGATTATACAACAACTAATTTTCTTTTGAGAAATAAAGATAATGTTATAGTCTTGGCACACCAACAATAGGCTACAACTCAGCGTCTTTATTTAAATCCTGTGACTCTGTAATGTAATTGCTTCTAATAAAGCTCAGTTAAAACTATAAAGTTGTTAGTAAACTGTTGAAAATATTAATTAGAAAATAAGCACAATTTTTCCCCCTTAAAAACTTTCCAGATGTAGTTTATTTAGCAGGAGATTTCATTCTGTCTAATAAAACAGAACAACTTTTTTCTTCAAGTGAAGGTTCCAGTAGCAAAAAAAAATAATGAAAATAGATCAAATAACTCGTCAGTTTAACTGTTTTATTCTCTAATTTTTCATAACCAAAAACCCTTTATATTTGAATGCAATATGAAAACGCTCAACGTAGATTGTTTTTAAGAAGCAACTCTCAGTTGATTGTGCAATGTTTATTACTTTAGTAAACACATCCTTTTCCTCATTGTTTAAAGAATTGCAAAATTAAATATTTAAAAATATTATAATTCATTTATTAAACACTAGACAAAACTTTTTGTGTATGTTTAAAACACAATATTTAAATTACTGATATACATATATTATGCAGTTTAATAAAGTGGGTCAAACGTTGTTTGGCAAGTGTCCTCTAACATTTTTTGAAAGTGGTCGTCCATAAATGACGTCACACTCGTAGGGGGAGGAGGGGGGTCCGTTATTTTGTGAGGATGTGTGATGAGGGGGTGGGGGTTTCAGATTGTGCGACGTCACACTTTTGTATTATACAAAAGCAATGTCAGAAAACGAGTTTTAGCCGTTATTTCTTATTTTAGAAAACTGTTTTAATAAACTGTAATAGGAATTGATTAAAATACTCTATGTTGACAGTTTAGACAAGATTTTAAAAACTATCAATGTTTTAAGAAAAATTCAACTCCAATGTTGAGGGGGGTTGTAGGCTGAAGTGTGACGTCATTTTAGGGGGGGGGGAGTCTGACTTTTTATGTCGATCTGTAACGGAGGGGAGGGGAGGTAAAAATCGTAAAAAAAGCGTGAGGTCATTTATGGATGATTCATTTAAGATCTGAGTGAAATATTTTTATCTACAGCGAAAACGTGTTGTGGCTTCCCCTTAGTAATTGTGTTTTCTCTCTTCTTCCTCCCCCCCCCATCTCTCTCTTTCTCTTTCTCTCAATATGATCTTAGGAGAAATGATCTAAAATAGAATATACCAGACGAAATATCTAAGGAAAAAGGATGTAAATGATACAACAAAAGATATATTCCGTCGAAGATATTTTGTCATTGTATCTTTTGTCATTATATATTTAGTGCTTAGCGATATTTTGTTTATGAGATCTTTGGTCCTTGAGATCATTTGTCATAGAGTAATTTTTTTCTGGGATATTTTGTCTGTGATAATTTCTCATGGAACCATAATATGTGTGTATGTGTATAAGAATCACAGTCAACCTTTAAAAATCAAATAAAACCAGCGCTCATGATACATTTTTACATCTAAAACATTTTATTTATTTTACTCAATACATTCAAGGTTCTACTTTTCATATTTAATCACAAACTTTCCAAAATATAAGAAATCAGCACTTAAAGCTACACATACACAACAGATGTTTTTTTAATACGTTGGCCTATATTAGAGTAAGGTTTTTAGAGATCTGTAAGTTTTGTGGACGTCTTTGTCCACGTTAGGGTGGATTTAGATGGTGAGACATGTTCTTTCGTGTTAGACGTTTATGGATTTCAAAAAGTTCTAATTATTTGTGGACCTAATAAACGGATAAACACTAACAACATTAGACAACTTTTAGTTCGGTGGTCAATTGAGGTGTCTCTTAGTGGTCCGTTGAGGTGTTCTTTTTGTTTTCCATTGAGGTGTTCGTTTAGTAGTCCATTGAGGTGTTTTTTTAGTGGTCCATTGAGGTGTTCTTTTAGTGGTCCATTAAGGTGTTCTTTTAGTGGTCCATTAAGGTGTTCTAGAATTTCTTCTCCTCCTAACACCCCTCTGCTTTAACACTGTCTTAAGACGTAAACGGAGTTGTTTCATAGCGCCTCTTGTGTTTGAGTTGTTCAACATATAAACCACATCTTAAAGTCAAATCAGTGACAGCAACTGCCTAAGTAATTTCGGCAGAGAATTTTAAAAGAACCGCTAACTCGTAATTTGGGTCATCTTTTAGAATGCATTTTTAAATTTTCAAATATCTGTACTAACATTCAAACAGACATTTTAAAATGCAGCATTTAAAATATTACGGGAAATAAATATTGATTCAACGGTTATTAGTTATTTAGATGACACTAACTGATTAAAATTTTGTTTGTTTAATAAATATACAAGTAAAATTGAATATACATGATAATGTTAGGTATAAAATAAAACCAGCACTACTCATAAAGATGAAAGAATTCACAGATACCCTGTTTAAAAAACACAATTAGCTATGCTATGATTTAGTTAACTGGTGTACTAATTCAATATCTCCAAATAGTCAGGCAAGACTTCATCGGATGCTGCTGACTCTGTGAAATAATTACAATTTTTTAAAATCATCACTGCATTATTTTAGCTCGTTTGTTAAACATAAACAATAATTAAAACCTAATTCAAATGTGAAAACACTGTTTAAAACAGAAAATATGAAGTGAAGGAGTCGTTTTTGTATAAAATGTTAAAGAAAATAATATGTACCGTTAACTACTCGTTCATACTGATGTTCGTCCTCCTGTGTAGTTACTGTCCTGTCACCGGGCACGTCGTAAATATTAGCGTCACTCTTTTTTCTTTTACACCATTTTCTGAAGTAAATTCAAATAAATAAACGCGTATTCGAGGATTAACTATCTCAGACGAATAATGAACTGGCTAATCAAATCTGCTTTAACCTAAGCAGAATATGAGATATTTTATTGTTTAAATTTTTTCTCACTAGTTGAGGATATATTTAAAAAGTTTACTACTTATTTTAAAGATGTAGTTTTAGAGTTTTTACAAAAATCTGAGAAACAGAAAAAATAAAAATGTTCTAGGCAGTTACTATTTTCGTTTATGCAAGCCAGTTTCGAAACATAAGAAAATGTTGCAAAGTAAATGTTTTTCTAGTAAAAGTATTAAGATGGTTACACATATTTAATTTTATAATGCTCCAAAATGTTGGAAGTATTAGATGTATATATAGTGAAAAGATAATACTTACGGGCAACAGATGAAAATAACACACCCGATGAAATTAATGACAATGATAGTCACACAAATCAAAGCAATCTTTTGTTGATCTATAAGCTCTGTAAAGTTAGCGGTTATATCTCTTTCAAAGTTAAAAATAAACCGGGAAACATCCCACCTAAACTTTCTCGAATATTCTTATATAATACTACAGGGGAAGGCAACTTAGGACATAGACATGATATTTAATCCATTTTTAATTACTTAAACTTTTTCTAATAGAATAGAATCAATTATATATATATATATATATAAATATATATATATATATATATATATTTATTTATTTATATATAAATAAAAACAAATTTAATTAAAAAACAATTATAACAACCGGTTTCGTATAATTTTAAAACATAAATATAATAAAACATGACATACATTTTTACATGACAATAAATATTTATATTACCACTGGATTCTGCAACGTGAGGTGTCGTAGATGAATTAGTTGACGTTAGAGTTTTTACTGATAAAATACAGTTATATATATATATATATATATATATATATATATATATATATATATATATATATATATATATATATATATATACATATATATATATATAAATATATATATATTAAGTAATTAAACGACACATTTTTAAACTCATTATTATTACTTAAGATGAAGTTGTATAATTTCACTGAAGTTAAAAGTAATAGCATTACAATTTTTAAAAAGATTTTTAAAATGTAATAAACATTTTTATTTTCAAGTATAATGTAAGATATTGATTTGAAATCTATTCCTTATTTTTAATTTTATCACCAAAGAGTTGTTTTTGTCCTATTAAAAAAAATGTTTTTAGGTTCAATTTACGAGCCTTTAAAAAAAAATGTCTACCCATATTTAATTGGTATTTACATTACATTTGATCATATCAAAACTTGAACAAGAATAAAAGATAGGGGGATTAAAGATGACAAAAATCAGTGTACAAAGTTGTCTATTACCTGTCGTTCTCTTTTCAGTAGTTTCTTCACTTGTACTCTTGGTAGAAGTAACTAAATAATGGTAAAAAAGCAATTATTGTATCTATATAAATATAATTCTCTTCTGGGAGACGTTAGAAAACAAGCTGCAAGCGCGCCTTGCAGTCCCCTCTCTACCTCTCTATCGCTACCACCCCCCACCCCCTCACATGGTTTGGTGAGCTGTGTTTCACGCTAAATGTTTACATTCGTAGAGCCGGGTTTGGTGACGGCTCTTAGGGGCAGATAATTTAGTTTGAAACGATTTTAAAATTAGAGGAGGTAACTAAGAGGGGGCTGCTTTTACGGGGGGGGGGGGGGGGGGAGGGGGTTTAGTGTTTTAAAGCAAATATTTTCAGTGGCAGCATTGGTACTGTCGAATTCACAAATTATGAATTACTGAAAAGTAGAAAAAAGAACTAAATAGCGGCGTATGATACACGGCTCGTAGTAATTATTTAAACATGAAATTATCGATACGTTTGAGTATTTTTAAAGACCTATTTAAAAAGCAAATTATGCGACTAACTTAAACTTTTTGAACCACCATTTTTAAAGTTACAATTTAAACATATTTAGAATAAATTATTGTATGTTCTAAACAATAAGATACAATATAATATAATATAATATATGTATATATATGTATATATATATATATATATATATATATATATATATATATATATATATATATATATATATATATATGTATATGTATATGTATATATATATATATATATATATATATATATATATATATATATATATATATATATATATATATATATATATATATAAAAGCTAAGTATATATCTATATACATATTTATATAATTATGTGAAAAAGTAATGTTAGTTGCTACCCTTGTTCGTAGCACAAGTGGATGCTATAGGTTTTGTAATTCCTTCTATTAAAAACGGATGCAGTTACAACACATTTTTAATGCAGCTTTCAAAGTGTTTAAATAGAGCTTTTAAAAAAAATAAAATAAAGCTTTACATTGCGATAAGCTAATTGGTTGATCGTTGATTTTAAATTACTTTAAAATGTTGGTAATGAAAGTGTTCTTTGTAACAACAGTTTCAGTGGGCTTGCAGTTGTGTTCATAGGTCCTATATATCTGAAAATCGGTAAAGCTATTTGGCTTTGTACTCAGATCTGACGCAATAATTAATATTTAAGCACATTACAAATTTGTCACGAAGCTTAAACTTAAATGAATAAAGATATTTTCTAGCTTATTGATAATGCAGAATTTTACAGAACAGTTCTTGCTAAAAAATCTCGAACGCAAGATTACTAAAGAAACGTCATATAAAACGAATATAAAAACGTAATTTACTTGTACATCTAATGAATGATTCATGCATATAAAATAGCTTTACTTTGTGTAGTCATTCGACTTTTTCGTATTGAAGACACTGCTAAAGTAGTAGGCCTACGTTAAATTGATAAAAAGGTAAAAATGGTGCAAGTTTTTCTGTAATCAGAAAAACACCACTGGTCCGCAGACGTTGAACGCCCAGTGTCCAACAAGGTTTAAACATTATTTTTGTTTCAGTATTTTATGTAAATAAACTTAATATACCAAGTTTAATTAAATTGTATTGTGTGAAACACTTGTTTTGAAATTAGAGTAAAAATTATAATTTATATTTAATAAAAAAATAAAAACCAACTCTCTAATGTACCTTTTGTCGTTGTTTCCCTCAATTTGTTACATTCGATATTCACTTCAGTGTCTTTTCTTGCTGGTAAACAAATGGTAATATACACAATAAATTTATTTAGAAAAGTGAAATCACATGCTATATTATTCTCTTAAGTTAATATTTAACATTTGTTAGGATGAAAAAAAAAACTTTCTTGTTTAGCTGGTAAGTTAAAATACGCTGTCCAATAAATTAAATAAAGAACTAAATTAACATAAAGGATATCTATCAGAAACATTTAGCCGTATAATAAATATAAAACACAACAAAAGTAACAAACGTGTGAGCTGGATCAAAGTCAGACTTGATGGAGCTGCTGTTGTAAATGTCATATTGTAAGCTCTCCGGCAACTGTTAAAGGACACAAAAAGACGTCGTTAGTCATTTATCCCGAAACAAAAAAAATTGAACACCCTTTCCCACCCAAGTGTGATTTATATAAAGGAAAATCGACGATAAGCGAAGAAAATTCTTATTAAAAAAAAACAAAAACAAACACTGGAAAAACAGTCGTTAAATTTGCATTTATGGTGTAAGCGCATGTCGTGAATCAGCTACGAGTCAGTCGTTAAAATAGCTCTACTATTTTGCACTCAATCAAACGATGCGCACTAGTTAATATTCTGGTGATGCGATCAATAATTTTAAAAAATTCTTTAATAAATAATCGGGTTTACTTTGGCTACTATACCCCGCTAGAGTGAATATTCATTATTCATAAGTTGAATGAGGTTCCAAACATTTGCATGGCGCCATTCTTCACAAGACGGGAAATTTAGTGCCAGTTTTCTAATGAACTATTCCTTTATTTCATGTAGTCATCTGCACGCATGCGCATATTCCACATATTAAGTTGAATCATTGGCTTCCTAAATCCACAATAAACTTGTCCTTGAAACACGTTGCATTGGGCGGTGCATTTGGGTAAGAGATGGTATTTCAGAATAATTGTGAAAAGCCGTAGTAATAATATCATTTCTTGGATGAGGCAGATGTAAAAGAAAATACTGTTGACATTTGTGGAACTGAGGGTTGCTTGGCTTTGGTTACGGTGCTGTATTATTTTCCTGTTATTTCATCTGCTGCACTGTTTTTTATACTGAGATAAGATTAATCTGGTCCCAGTGAATGTTCATTACAACGCCCAAACAAGTTGTTCTTCATAAATGTTTACTTTACTTTACCTTTGATTCTTTTTTTTTGCACACTCGAATGACACATTGTTTGCCAAATATTTAGCTCCTACATTTTGATGTCATTTATCTGAGCTGTTGCCTGTATTTTCTCTTTTATTAAATACAGATAAGGTCAGTCCTTAACTATTGAATAGCATTCTTTTTGGTAGAAATTATTTTGTTGGTGTCTTAAAAAATTAATTAAAAATTCTAATTATTTAATACAAAGTTATATAGAGATGAATACACGGATATTTTGATGACATATATATGGAGCTGAGGGTAGCTTGGCTTTGGCATCTCCGCTAGTTATAGGAATAAACTGAGTAACATTTCGCTACGGTATTGTATTATTTCCCTCTGTTATTTCATCTGCTGCACTGCTTTATATACTGATATAAGATTAATCTGGTCAACATAAATGTTAATTACAACGCCCAAACAAGTTGTTCTCCGTGAATGTTTACTTTAAATTTTCACTTTTTTTTTGCACACTCGAATGACACATTGTTTGCCAAATATTTAGCTTTTTAAAAATATAGCCTTAAACATCACATTTAAATTGCCTCTTAGATTGTTCGATCGTATTCCAAAATTTTGATTAGCCCTTTTAGTTTCGTACATTATCAAGCCTGTTTGCGAAGGCGGATATGTATCAAACTTCCACATGTGAATCTACCACATCTTTATTATAGTGTTAAAATGTGTTGTTTTTGTCTAGTTTTTAAACCGTACGACTCCTATATTTGGATGTCATTTATCTGAGGCGTTGCCTGTATTTTATCTTTGATTAAAATACAGATAAGGTCAGCCCTTAACTGCTGAATAGCATTTGTTTTTGGTAGAATGAATTTTGTTGGTGTCTTAAATTATAAATTGTAATTATTTAATACAAAGATTTACAGAAATGAATACACGGATATTGCTGATGTCTGATATTTTTAACGCTAGCTTTACCTAACACAAGCCAATGAAGGGTTTTGTTTATCCGTTTTGTTTCTGTTGTCAAGGTGGGGGTTGGTGTGTGTGTGTGGGGGGGGGGGGTGACATCCATTGTATTAAAGACCGGCTGACCGATTATTTGTTTAAAAAAATGTGTTTTATTAAGGCTGAGACTGATTCACTTATCATCATAATATTTATTGGTGGTAAGCAACTAAATTCAAGTCAACTTATCAATACTTACTCAATATGTTGCAGTTCTTTAACATCAGTTATTGGTTCAAAATTACCATTACATGATATGGACAGGTTAGTATCTCTATTATAACTCAGTATGTCAACAAACATAGATGCTTCTGTAAACTTTAAAGAACAGTTAAAATCTGATTCAGTACGTTGATGTTGTAATGCTAGGTAGAATGATTCATTCCTTGCGTAATTTACTGTATGGCTGATTATTTCTGACATGTTAATAACGAGCTTATTATCAGCATCTGAAATATACACGTACATATATATATATATATATATATATATATATATATATATATATATATATATATATATATATATATATATAAAGCAATGTATGTGTGTCTGTGTGTTTATGTGTTTGTTTTTTATGCATTACTACACCTCTCATCACATCGCCGTAAAACTTTGGGAAGTTGTAAATATTTCTGGGGAGGTTTTTGCGAAAAAAAATTCTAATTCGCAGGGGTGGCGCCCCGACGGGGCGCAATTTGTTTTTTCTCTATATGCGGTATATAAAAATAAAAGTTAATTTTGGTTTGACACCGTAATCCGATAGGCATGAGACTTTGGTGAGTTCATTATAACACTCTAGGGAAGGGTTCTGTAAAAAAAACTTTTTTAATTTCGCAAGGGCGGCGCCACGGGATGGTAGGTTTTTTCTCAATATACGGTATATAAAAATAAAAGACGATTGCGGTTCGACACAGTTTATCCGGGTGTCATAAAACTTTAGGGAGTTTTTGAATACTCCCGAGAAGGTTCCTGGGGTAGGGGGTGGGGGGGGGGGGGTGGTGGGGGGTGGGCGGTATGTGATATGTGGTGTGGGGGGGGGGGGGGGGTTGGGGTATGGAGGGGGATTTAATTTTGCATGGGCGGCTCCCCGGCAGGATGCGATTGGCGCCCTGGTGTTTCCCGTGAGCGCCATGGCCACTACGTTCGGTCTAAACAGTGTGATAGACAATGGATAGGATGGAGCGTTACAAATGCTCACTAAATTGGATCAGGCATATCCGCCGGCGCCCTGGTAGGGTGCGATTTGGCTGCAAATAAAAATTTCTATTTCGGACCCCAAGGGCTCACATGGGCCGCTGAGGGCCATGTAATACGTTTTGTTTAAATAATCAGAAAAATTAGCCAAGGTTAGTTTATTAACTGGAATGTTTATTTTTGTCCGAAAAAAAATCCAATCAGTTTCGTCACTTTGCGAATGATGCAATTAGCATTTATTTTTATACGATTGAATCAGAAATTGAGATCGAGCATCTAATAACAAACCATTAGTAATGCTAACAATTTGCATTAGTCACACTGATGTTTAAAACACGTCAAATAATTGTTTTACGTGTTAAAGACAAATCCTGTCGCTTTAGCGAGTGACGAAATCTGCATCATTGTTAGCAGGATGCTACTTGGCACTCTGATTTATCCTATGAGCACGATGGCGCCTGTTAGTTTTAAGGAGCTATGGGCCGTACGCTGCGCCTATGCGGTAGTGGAATCGACGGGGGGGGGGGGTGGTTGGGAGCTCCTGAGAGCGCCCCCCTCTACATCCCTGACACATGGGCGGTCACTGAAGTGTGTTCTACCTCATTTTTTTCAGTGAGTGAGTATGTACACTCAAGGTTTTCATGCGGTAGTGTCACGATATTTTTGATCCAAGCGCAGGCATTGTTTACATTTAAATTACTCGCTTTTAGAAAACTAGGTCACGCGTCTAAGAACATAGGATTGGTAACGCATGGATGAAACCCTTCTTATATATTTCGTCGGACTTTCTTCTATTTCCGCGGCAACGCGCGGGGACGGGTACGCTAGTATATATATAAAATGAATGTTAAAAAATAAAAAAAATATATAGTACTTGCCAACAGGGTGACATTCATACATTATATCGTAGCGATTCGGCTTAACAGTGTTATTTTGACAGGTTTTATTCAACTTAGTTAATATTTTAGTATCAGAAAGTGTACACTTCTTTAGTCCATTGCAGGTCCTTCGAACATAAGACAGCAGATTTCTCTCACTTAAATCAGTCCAATTAAACCTTTGCAAGGGTGAACCACACGGGTCCTTCAGTCAAAGAAAATCACAAATATATGCTAGTTAACGTTTGTTTATATCGTCATAAAAAAGTATAGTAAATTAATGAAACTTTTTAAAAGTTGCACAAACCTGCCAGGCAATTTCCATATCTACAACAATCATTCCCATGTTTTGATTTTTACAGCCACCTTCTTCACCGCTAACGTCCACCTTGTAAGGGAGTGTATGGGTCAGTAGACTCAAAGAAAATGTAGCTGACTCTACCAACACACCTACATTAGCCAAACATTTTTATATGGTTAATTTTGTAATACTTTATTTATCATCGCCGAAAAGATTTTGTTCACTTTTAAGCTTTTTAAAACACTAACTTGGCATAATCTTCTCCACATGTTAGATACATACCAGGCATTCTGCCAAGATAGGCTTAGGTTTTTGAAAAAGCTATAATTTAAAAAAAATTCTTTATACGTAACACGCACAAGCACACTAACACATTCTGTACTCATCACTATTTCTAATTAAACAGAAACCGTTTTAATTTAAAATTAATAACCTTTTTTGCTTATGTTGATTAACTTACTGATTTGATACAATTCGGTAGGACGGCGGGCATGCAGGGTGTGGCGTATTGTTTAGAGTACGACGGCTATCTCAAAAGTCTAGAGTTCGAATACCGGACCGGTCTGATTCCATACATTAAGGGAAGCAAAAGCGGCTAAGCACGGAACTCATCTTACTATGTACTACATGCCGTGGACACAGAAATAGATAAACACTACTTCACCTGCCATATAAAAGGCCAGTTCCGAAATTTAATAACAATTTACAGTAACCAGTTGAAAGAAACTTACCACAACTTTCTTCTGGAAAAAGCAGGATGTTTAGTGAGTGAATAAACTGGTCCGAAATTTTGTTATACCAAAATCACATATC